CTTGGGCAGGGGCGATTGGCGTGTTACGCAGTATTTCGTTCCCGGAAACAGATCGATCGCATGACGCACACCTTGGTCCGGAGATAGGACCGACGGTGGGCCTTTGAAAACGACGTCTTTTAATTCCTTTACCAATGGATAGCACTGATCCGATGCATTCTTCCGGATCAAAGATCCTTTTCGTGCGTTCAGCACCCTCTTAGTGTCCGCCAGGACAGCGTCATCCAGAAGCGACGACGTGTTGATCCCCTTTTCCGGCCGTACAATGGCCACTTCCGCTAAGTCGCCTGACTCCAGGGCACCGCCGAACTCTTCGAGGGGCATCTCGTCCAGCTCTAGAAGAGCATCCACCGCGGGAATAGTTTCGAGGGTGATCCTACCCCTATCATACCAGTGACGAGGGTGTATAGCTGTGCGCTATCGTCTTCAGCAGACACAACCTGGGTCAGGATGGACGCCCCTGCGTTTCGCAGATAGTATACGGCGTCGCCGTTGTCTCTCCACGAAGCGTTTATGTCTCGACGAATCCAGTGGGAACACGCACTCAGCGTCGGCCAGTGTCTTCACTCCCTGCTTCACCGGAGCCTTGATGTTATAAACAACATCCGACGAAGAGCCGCAAGTTCCGCAGTCTTCGTCCAGTGGATGACTTGCCAGTCCACTTTCAGCCCGCGACCCATGTTCGGGACTCCTGTCCGGTACATCTTTGGTTTTCACCAACTCGGATACTCTGATCTCCAGTACGTTGACCGTCTAGGTCCAGTGCCCGTGCCAATTTGCCTCCTAGCAGAGGTGGGTTCATGACCGACCAAAGCTCCACCAGGAGACGTGGGCGTAGCGCCAAGGTCTTCGAACTCCAGTCGATCCATAGCTCATGGTGCTCCACAAAGGATGAGGTCACAGGGGCATTTGTCACGGTGCCGAAGGTCCCTGTGGACATCGGCGTCAAGTTTCTTAGCTTTGATAGCGTGGAAGGCTGCTTAGACTTAGACTTGGTATCAATCCCGGGTATTGTTGATGGATGCACAACCAACCCAGTCTCAATATTACTGAGAATATCAAGGTTTTCCTTCACTCCAAGTTTCTAAGCAATGATAACTCTTCTGATTCTTGGTGGAGCACCATGAGCTACGGATCGATTGGAGTTCGAAGACCTTGGCGCTACGCCCACGTCTCCTGGTGGAGCGTTGGTCGGTCATGAACCCACCTCTGCTAGGAGGCAAAAACACTTTTGGCACGGGCACTGGACCTAGACGGTCAACCAGCTGGAATACAGAGTATCCGAGTTGGTGAAAACCGAAAATGTATCGGACAGGAGTCCCGAGCATGGCTCGCGGGCTAAACGTGGAGTGGCACGTAATCCTCTGGTCACTGCTCAAGTATTGGAGCCGTCGCTGCATGGCATGCGTGTATAGTCGGATGAGGTCCAAGGCATCGAAGGCGAGGCCCCAGTGATGCACGCGGAGTGACACGTAATCCACTGAGTACTGCTCACGTTTCGAAGCAGTAACTGCATGCAACGAGTGGTATGGTTGAATGAGGTCCAAGAAATCTTGAGCAAGGCCCATCCGATGCCGTGAAATGGCACTTCTTCGTCGGATGTTGTTTATAACATCAGGGCTCCTGTGGAACAGGAAACAGGGACACTGGACGACGCTGAGTGCGTGTTTCCACTAATTTTGCCGAGATGTAAAATCTCTGTGGACAGGCAACGGCGAAGCCGTATGTTATCTGCATTTTGTGTGCATCCGTTTTCTTTGAAAAAGCGGTAAATGTGGCATTAAATGCCAAATTTGACTTCAAGTCGGCACGACTAGGTTGAAATACACATCCCACGAGCTTGCTGAGCGGTTCTGGGAAAGAGGAGAGGGCATTAAGCTGCCGAGCGAAGGAAAGCGCAGCATCAAAGTATTTTGAAGGTGAGTATCCCACTGCGGAGCTGTACCACCAGACGGACATGGCTTTGTTCTCGTGGACCAAACAGCAATCATTTTCGGCTTTTCAAAATATCTGTCGTTTGGGCTCTTGATTATATCTTAAGGATGCTCGAACATATGGACTTTGAAACGCAGGGAATCCACCCTGACCCAGGATGTGTCTGCTGTAGACAATAATACGCGACTATACACCTTTGTCAACGGTATGATGGGGGGAAAGACGTTGACGTAACCCTCGAGGCTATTTCCGCGGTGGATGCTCTTCTTGAGCTGGAGAAGATGTCCCTCGAAGAGTTCGGCGGTGCCTTGAAGTCAGGCAACTGAGCCGAAGTGATCATTGTACGACTGAAAGAGAAGATCAACTCGTCGTCGCTTCTAGATGAAGCTGTCTTGAAGGCCACCAAGAAGGCGCTAATGATCATTAATCCCGAAGAATTTGGCGGATCCGTACTATTCATTGGTGAAGGAATTTCAAGACGTCGTCTTCAAAGGCCCACCGTCGGTCCTATCTCCGGACCAAGGTGTGCGTCATGA